GAGCAAACCAAGCGATATATTTCGCGAGTACAGTTAATGACGTGTGACACGTACGAACGTTATGCACGCGGGAGAAGCAAAAGAAGCGAAGCGACACACGGAGAAGAAGAAGAAGAAGAAGAAGAAGAAGGTTGGAGAGGGGGGGAAAAAAAAAGGAGAAGTTACGATGGGGTTAACTTGTGGCTCGTCTCGCCGCGAACTTCGGTTCTACCTCGCGGTTTCTCTTCTTGTAAAGTCATCGTTAAAGGATTTCGCCGAGAGAGTTTCTTCTTTCTTTCCTCGCTTTACCGTTTCGTCGCAGCCATCGCCTTTCTCTGTCGATGTCAAATCTCCCCGTCTCTCCTTTTCTCGCGCGTTTTCTTACTCCCTTCCGCGCGGATACCTTTTTTTCCCTCGCACGCAGATTCCTTTTCGCTAGCGTACTTTTTCCCCCGCCGCCCCTCTTTTTCTTCATTTTCTGCCCGCCAATCTCTGCCCGCCGCCTCCTTTCTTTGCCCGTCCACCCGGGCTCGTTTTCAACCTCCTGCCCGCTCGCGAGCGTCCCGGCCCCGGAGGATATTTCACGTTCGTCCCGACTGTTTGCTTCCTTTTCCGTTGTCCCATTTCAGAACACGATCTATCAGCGGCGAACGGGAACAATATATTCCTTCCCTTTACGCCTCGCTGGCACGGTGCGAGACCCTTCTGATGTTTTCTTCTCTCCTTCTTTTTGTAGAGGAAGTTGAGTAAAGTGCGGATGAATTCTCTGTGGTGTTCATTTTTATGTTTCGAGCGTGTATATGCAATTATGTAAGTAGGCGTGTATATTTTGTAAGTTTGTGCTGGTCGGGTGATTTGCGTAGAACGTTGTGCGTACCAAATGATTTTGGAAAATTGATACAAATTAGTTAGCTGAATGGGAAAGTGAATTAGGAGTTTGTGATTTATTTGTGTGATAACATGGATCTTCGATTAAAGACGATACGATAGTTTTTATTAACACGTTCGTTACTTCCGTTTTGTTCAGATGTCTCGTATCACTTTCGCTTACATTCTCGATAGTTGTAGAATTCAGTGAATTTCCGTTGGTTTCGAAAGATTTCAGTAGATATTAGTAGAATACAGTAGATTTCCATAGAATTCAGCAAATTTCAGTAGATTTTAGTAGAATTCAGAAGACTTCCGTAGAATTTAGCAAATTTCAGTAGATATTAATAGAATATAGTAGGCTTTTGATCGAATTCAGCAAATTTCAGTAGATTTTGGTAGAATTCAGTAGATATTAGTAGAATACAGTAGATTTTCAAAGAATTCAGCAAAATTTAGTAGATTTTAGGAAAATTCAGCAGATATTAACAGAATACAGTAGATTTCCATAGAATTCAGTAAATTTCAGCAAATTTTAGTAGATTTTAGAAAAATTCAGCAGATATTAACAGAATACAGTATATTTCCATAGAATTCAGCAAAATTTAGTAGATTTTAGGAAAATTCAGCAGATATTAACAGAATACAGTAGATTTCCATAGAATTCAGTAAATTTCAGCAAATTTTAGTAGATTTTAGAAAAATTCAGCAGATATTAACAGAATACAGTAGATTTCCATAGAATTCAGTAAATTTCAGCAAATTTTAGTAGATTTTCGAAAAATTCAGCAGATAGTAGAATACAGTGGATTTTCAAAGAATTCAGCAAATTTTAGTAGATTTTAGAAAAATTCAGCAGATATTAGTAAAATACAGTAGATTTCCGTAGAATTCAGTAAATTTCAGTAGATTTTAGTAGATTTTGGTAGAATTCAGTAGATATTAGTAGAATTCTGTAGAATACAGTAGATTTTTCATAGAATTCAGCAAATTTTAGTAGCTATTAATAGACCTTAGTACAATTCAGCAAAATTTTAATAGAATTCGGTAGATTTCAATACGCTTCCAATTCAGTAAGTGTCCTAATATAATACTTATGAGAACGGAATTGCACGTGACGCTGATAGGAAACATATTAATTCAAAAATTCCACACATTTGCACGCCGCTTAAAAACTAGTCCAAAATTGCCAACATTTCAATTTCCAATTATTCATCAACGAATCCAGACGAATAACCGGAAAGAAAGCATTAATTTTCCCACCGCAACCTCTTCGTATCCCCATTTCTCTCTCCGCAACATCTCTCCTCCGTACAGCTTCAGCAATTCGCGTCCTCCATAGCAAACGACATTCTCGCTTAAAGCATCGCTCCTCTTGCTTACCTCGTCGCGCGATAAACTCTCTTTCTATTTCATTTTCTTGATATACACGATCCCCGAACGCTGTTTATTAACGCATGAATAATTCCCCGGCCGACTGGTGAATCCTTCGCCTCCTCTCCGAAGCCAGACCGAATCCCCGAGGGACTTTTCCCTCTTTTCGAATTCCCTTTCTTCCTCCGCTCCGCCTTATCTCTTTTTCCCCTCGGTCTGCTGATGCAAAGGATTACCCGCGAACATTCCTTTTAAGGTAATTCCCGAAGATTTATCATCGCTCCTCCGTTTCTCCCGTTTCTCTCCACGCGGATCCTCTCGTCGCTGTGTCACATCCGAGGCGCCGAATACGAAGAAGACGCGAAGCTCGTTTCTGTCCCTCGCGCAGGACTTCCGGAGGAAATTCGATATATCATCGCGGAATCGTTGCAATCTCGTTCGTTAAAACTTCAGTTCGTCAAGTTAGTCTTTTTCGCCCACGTCTCCTCCTTTTCAACTCGTCGCCTCGACAAACCCACTTTCTCTCGGTCATCTTCCTCCTCCGTCTTCCCTCTTTTCAAGTTCAACCTCGTCCTTTTCCTCCTTTTCTTCTCATTTTCTTCCCTCTTCCCGTCGTTGCCCGACACCCACGGTCCCTTTCATCCTCTTTTCTCTCTCGACGACCTCTCTCGCTTTCTTTCTTTTCGCCGCGTTTCACGATCGCCGGGCAGCGCGGCTTATTAGCGCGCCGCGTCGACTATAAATCTGCACGCGTTATTAAGGAATTGTCAATTCGCTTTTCGGCCGGCTTTCTCATTTTTCAAACACGAATAGAGACGTCTTTGCCGCGTTTCCGCCCGTTACTCGCTGGCGTTGGATCAACGCTGGAAGAATGAGATAGGAATATGTTTATACTTGCCGCTTAGCTCGATAGCTTACCGACTATTCGTGGTTGAATTTACTACGCCCGCGTTACCGCTTGAAGCGCCGGCTATTTTGGTGGAAACTTGACTTAGAGCGCCGCGATATTTACGAGTTTTGTAGAAACAGGCAGTTTTACGAAATCAAGTAAAATGACTCTTGTAAGACAGAAAGTTTCTAGTGAAAAATTTTGCGTAGTGCGTGTTACAGGCACAGCGACATATTTTTTCCTGCACAAACGTGTAAAAACGCATTTAGGCGGGCCCGGCGATTAATACAATAACATATATTAATTTTAGTGTATCTTTGCGTTTATATTCCAACGATATCCAGCACAGCACAATAAGTAATACGAAAATATAAAAAATGGAATATGAATACGAAGAGGGCCGATAGTATCCAGCGTTCGATTATCACTGCAAAGGGTTAAAGGGTTAAGGCACATATGGGCAACTCACGGCCCGCGGCTTCTTTTAGTTTGGCCCGCGATCCGTCCCCGCGAAGTCTTCAAATCCGGCCCTCCAGTTACCGATTAAACAGTATCGCGTTTCATTTTGTAATTTTATTTAATATACTAGCCTTTTTTATTCAAAGCCAAAATTGTATGAAACACATAATCACGTACAACATTACATCGGAGGTATTAATATACTGATACATAAAAGCACAGGCGAAAACCCATTTAGTTTGGCCCCTGACTCGCAGAGCGATAATTTGGCCCTAGAAGTAGGAAAGGTTGCCCGTGCCTGGGGCTTTCTGATTTTTAGAGCTTCTGCAAGACGAAAAAATCGATACTTCGTATTCAAAGTGCCGCCATTTTTTAAATTTTCAATATTTTCCTTTTATTCTACTACCGACCGTAGAGACATACGTACTAAATAAGAATCAACTGGATTTTCTTAATTCGTATAAGCAGAACGGCTCAAATCATGGCAACCATCAACGTACTTTTCTTTTTTCATGCCCGTGTTTCACGTGTTCCACAGCAGCCATACTTAATTATTTTTCAACAAAAAAATTTCTAATCATTCTTCAAGGACAAGTAAATACATAGGAATGAAGCTCGTGTTAATAACTGTTACCGAACTTCTATAATAAATTAGCAAACGAGGCCTAAAAACGGCTGTCACACTAGTGCTCCTTTAAGGAGACGCTAAGAATTCGAAAGGATCGACAGACGCATAGAAGAATCGCTACAGCCCCGACAGTTCTAAAAACTACAGTCTAAGTGCGTTGAAACTTGTACGACTTTCGTGTACGAAAGTTTAGATAGAATAGAATTATTGTTTGAAAATACTGAAGATCGGAATTTAAGTTAGGTTGAAATTCTCGAGGAACTGTACAGGCGATTCCGGCCTCTTCGTGCGCCGCATCCATTTACATCGCGCTTCCAGCGTTCCTGGTTACGCCAGCTTTTTGCGTTTCCGCGTAAGCTATGCAAAGTAAACGCCGCGCCGCGCCGCTCGCTCGCACGCGACGCCAAAGGAGATGCAGCCTCAAAGTATTTCGTAGATAGGTAACGAAGTTTTTGCGAAACGCCGTTTTCCCTCGATTTTCCTTCCCCGGCCATTTCCTGCCTTCCCTCTTTTATTCACGCGTATTTTCGTTCCATATAAGTTAACTTTGTTCCACCTTTTTACCTGCTTGCACTTTGTTTCACTCTCCTTTCATTCGTACAATTTCCCTCGTTCAACGATTCCTGTGTTTTCGGAGAAATTCTTGAACGCGAAGTTGCAGTTTCGTTGCATTTTGAAGTAAATTGTACGACGTGTGTGTTTTTGTTTCTGGTAGTGTGGAATCTCATGTTTTGAGAGAG